GCGATTCTCGAGTTTTATAAAACGATTTCTCGAGTTTTATAAAACGATTCTCGAGTTTTATAAAACGATTCTCGAGCTTTATAAAACGATTCTCGAGCTTTATAAAACGATTTCTCGAGTTTTATAAAACTGTTCATTTTGTATTCTTGCGGAAAGTTTTGGCTATTAATTCCGTCGTACCGATTTTGACCCCAACATTAACCACTTCTAGCAAATTATGCGACGAAAATGTAACTTTGTTACATTCCTTGGATTGGAAATTTCCATTCCTCTTTTGGACCTACTTAACTAACTCCTTCCCTTTCTCAAAGCTTTAAGCCATGACCTTGTGGGTCATACACCTGGTGGCTCTGTAGGGAATAGATTCGTCTTTGGCGTATTTGTTCTTAGTTCAAATTAGATGAAATCCGTGACAGCAAATGTCAGCAAGTTCTTTAATATATGGGGCCTAGCGAGTTAGGATTTTCATTTTTTCATCAGACCTACCTCGATAGTTCCAATGTTGGTCGCACCAACAGTACAGAAAGTGGCATTAAACCTTCTTTCCAGAGCCTTTCAAGCACAGCCGATGATTAACAGCTGATGCTCAGTGTTTGGAGAAAAGGGCCAGAGATATTTGGTACGTTTACAATGAGACAAAGAAAATTACACTTTCGTTACTGAAGTCACTTCTTAGAGGTTGAAGGTTTAGTTTTCACCGTTCTCTCCAAGAGCTTCTTCCTCAGACTCATAACGTCAAAGACCATGATGCATCACCTCATATTCTAGAATACTTCACGTTAATCTCTGTTGAACAACGTTTTGGGGGAAATTAATATAATGTAAGATTGATTTATTACTACCAATGGGTGAATGTTTACTTTTGTAATTGAGTTGAATATGAAGGAATATTTCGAGTGTTCTTTTCAATACTAAAGCAATTATAAAATGTTTGCTGGATACCATAATTCGAACGCAATTGCATAGTCTCCAAAATTGGCAAAAACAAAAGTCAAACATGCGAGAGATAAACGAGAAGATGTTTGATGAAAGTAAGAACAATTAACGGTAACGACGAAGGGAGAGAGAGTTGTTCTTCTTCCATGTAGCTCTGCGAGACGGACGGTTCTTGTGGTTGTTGTGACCCTTTCCGCGCAGTCCTCTGTTCTTCTTTCCCTCTGATGTAAGTCCCCTGAGCTCACGGTGTTTGTGCACCGGGTTGCAGATCCAGTTGATTCTAGGGTCATTACGCACAGCATTGTGTGCCGGGTCAACCAAGATGATCTCGTAGTACTTGTAGGTCGAATCCTAAACCAAAGACTAGAACAAATTAGTATCTATAAACAGATAAGATTAATCATGTATTAAGAAAATGAGAGAGAGAGATTGTACCTCGTTGAGCCAGTAGGAGTTGACGACTCTTAGGCCACCCAGTTTCCTTCCAGCACGCTCCTCAGCAACAGACCGCTTGCTCCTCTGGAACTTGAGTTGTGTCACTCCCTGGTTTGTGGGCTTACCGTAGACAATACCCTTTGGCACTGGCCTCTTGCGTCCACCACGTCTCACTCGGACACGGTACACAACGAAGCCCTGACATAGATTTACCAAAGTAACACTGTTTTGAGTCTAAGACTCTAAAGTAACAAGAATGTTATATTCTACCATTCATAACAAAGAGCTACATTCTCAGACAGTAATACTAAGATCCAAAAGACAAAGGGATTAGGGCACAACTAGTCACCTGCTTGGCCTTGTAACCCAGACGACGAGCCTTGTCGGGACGAGTAGGCCTGACGAGACGGACAATCGAAGGTTGCTGTCTGTACTCCCAGCATCTCACCCTCTGCACAAACCTCATCACATCTGACTGCTTCTTCCTCCATAGCTCCGACACGTATTTGTACGCACCTAGAGTTTATCAAAACCCCCATGAAATCATTAATTCGCAATAACAGATCCATTGCACATACATATTTGAACAGTAACAGAGATTCTAAAAAGAAACGATCTAGACGAAGGATGAGGAGAAGCAGTTTACCCATTTTCGAAGAGCCGCACAGTCCCGGCGCAAGGTAGGGTTGTCAGTAATTTAAAGTAAGGAGCTAGGGTTTTAAATCCAATGGAGTACTACAGAAAATGGGCCAATAATTAAAGCCCACTTTTAATGGGCTTCATGTTTTGATTAAACCCGTACTTGTTAAACCATGATTATGATCAGTAGTTTGATGTTTTCTTCTGTTCTGCTTTCTCGTAATTATCGATGTTAATGATGCCTTATTAACGTCAAGGTCCTAGGTAGGCACCTGTTGATGAATGACGATCATGAGACTCGCCAAGAACTGTAGAATAGAAAGCTACAGATCGGTTCATGGCCAATAAGAGAATTTGATGATATACATCTTTATTTATCACCACATTTCGAAGATACAGTACTATTTTAACTATTTTCTCTCGATTATAAGATGCATCTTTCAACATGTTACATTGAGTCCATAATATAATCATCAACTGTTTTCATTTTACTTGGGAGACAAAGGTCAGTTTCATCAAAAGTCAATAGTGTCACAAAAAATAAAATTAAGTAGTTCATGAAAGGAGAAAAATAACGTATCCCACTTGTTATCCTACAATGTCCAAAACCAAAGCTTGTTTTTTTCTTTTTGTCAGCTTGGTTATTTTTCATCTTCTCATCAAAAATGATTTTTATATTTGTGGTAATGATTGTCTCAAATATATTTTGACTTGTTAAAAATATATAATGAAGATATCCCTTTAATTCACCTCACGATTAGAATAATTTCCTTACATATATAGCACATACAGACCAAACAAATGACGACTAACACAAGTTTACTTACAAAACTGTGTGAGGTTTATATTTTGTTTCTCTTCGTGGAGTATCAAATGAAAACAAACACGATTTTGGTCAGTGTCATAATCAGCTGTACTCATGTCTACCTTTCACTTTTTTTAATATATGGCTGTAATCACGAAGTTTCAACTGAATCTGAAATTTATTGAACTATTCTGTCCTCCATGATAATTGTAGTGGTTAATAGAATTTCAAATTCAGTATTGTTGGAGGGTGTGTTATGTTTCAGAGCTTACTTCAGCCCATACAACCTCCAAATTTTATGTTTTTGGCCCGAAACCACGAAACCTTCAGATTGTTTAATGTGTATCTCATCTTCTAAATATTCATGTATAAAAGAAGTTTCAACATCCATTTGATGAATTTCCAAGTTTTTTAATGTTATAATTGCAATCAACAATCTGACTGAAGTTATTCTCGTTACTGGAAAATAAGTATCGAAGAAATCTACACTTTTTTTTTTCTTTTAAATCCTTGAACCACAAGTCTGACCTTGTGCTTATCAACTGAACCATCAGTTTTGAGCTTGGTTTTGAATAGACATCCACTTTGTGAACTTTTGATAATATAGTCGATCCTACATTTGTTATTGATCTGAGTCACTTGGGGCTTCTTGCCCTCCTTAAAACTCTCTTTGGTAATCTTTAGAAATATCTAAAAGCCATGAAAAAATTGTTAGTTCAACATGTTAAGTATCAATATCATCACACAAATAATGAGAGCAAAATAAAGCGGGTTTTACATTTATATTCTACTTATCTTGAAATATGTATTTCTCCTAGTTCTAATTTCAAAGAGAACAACAATTTGTTTAATAGATCAATTAATAATAACCATGTCTAGAATTAAAGAAAAAACTATTGTAATGAAAACACAAACAAAGAAAGTACATATTTTAGAACACAATCGGACAACAACTATTCTAAGAGTACAAACACAATCGAATAACAACAAGTCTTCAGTACAATCAGACAACAACTACTCTACATGAAAACATACACAATCGAACAACAACTTGTATAGGATTTCAAGACCCAACAAATACAAATCTAAAACATTTACTTGCAACAACTTAATCGTGATGTATAAGATGATTAACCAACCCATGAAACATATTTACTTTAAGAAACATGACAAATCATTTTTTAAAATTCTAGGTTAAAAAGAAGAATATTTTGATTGCATTTTAGATGACAATCAACAGAAGTAATTAATCGAATACCTTGTGTAAAGAAATGTAAGATTTTATCAAAATTAATGGAAGAATACTTCATAATTCAATTTGACCCGTCCAACGAAGAGGACGAACACTGAGAATCAAAGAAAAAAATGATTGTAATGAAAGCAAAAAGAAAGAAAGTACATATTTTGGAACACATGTTCCAATTGGACAACAACTACTCTAAGAGTACAAACACAATCAATTAACAAATAGTCTACATTACAATCAGACAACATCTACTCTACATGAAAACATACACAATCGAACAACAACTTGTATAAGATTTCAAGACCCAGAAAATACAAATCTAAAACATTTACAAGCAACGACTTAATAGTGATGTATAAGATGATTAACCAACCCGTGAAACAGATTCACTTTAAGAAACATGACAAATCATTTTTTTTTAATTCTAGGTTATAAGGAAAAATACTTTGATTTTGTTTTAGATGATAATCAATAGAAGTAATCAAATACCTTGTGTGAAGAAATGTGAGATTTTACCGATATTGATAGAAGAACACTTCGTAATTCGATTTGCCACGTCAGACAAAATAATCATAAACGAATTAGACTTTTGTTTGTTTTATTTGTTTTTATTATTGTTGGTTTGTTAGGCCCATTTTGGCCCAATTGTTTGGTTTTGTCAACCCGAATTTTTGCCAATGTTTGTTGTTTTTCTTCCCTCTTCATCGCCAATTGAAATTCTCGGTCGAAATAGTTTCATCGCCTCCACCCCATCATTTCTCGGTTGAAATAGATCTAATCGCACCGAATCAGTCTCCAACTTACGATCGATCGTTCAGAGAATGGTTGCCACATGTTACTCCTGCGAATGCATCCAAGTCTTCTGAAACGTCCAAAAATCCGCCATGGCAACGATCTTCAAACAGCTCGGAATTGTCAAGATCAGCATCGAAGATGTTCAAAAGCTCGAGTGGGACGTAGTGGAAGTCAAAACAAACGGTTGATCCGCGCGGCAAAGGTCTGTGTAAGAATCTTCTTCTCAAGCGAGAAGAGACTCTTACCAATAGTTTTTCGACGACGATACAACGGCCATGGACGAGACATGTTTCATGGAGACGATGAAGACATCTTCTCTCCGCCTCTTCACTTTCCCCGAAGCAATAAGCATAAGTAGAAGATCACCGGAGAAGCTTTTCAAGATTCTCGACTTACACGACGCGATGGGCGATATGTTACCAGACATCGAAGCGATCTTCGACTCAGATTCATCGCAAGCTGTCTGTTTCCAGACACAACTGTGCTTTGATTGATTCGACTTGGGCTGCTATGGCTTCCGTGATCAACAGTTTATAGTGTTAGTGTTTGATCTTATTGCTTTTGGTCTTGCCGTTGCTGCAGGACAGCAAAGAACCACCATTAGTTTCCCTCTCTCTCTCTCTCCTCTCTTCCTCTCTCCCTCTCTCATATTTGTTGCTTCCTTCTAAGTAGTTCTTCAAGCTATGTTTTTTTTTTTTTAATTTTCTAGATGGATGGAACCAACATATTAAAAAAAAACCAAATGGAGTCATAAGTTTAATTCACCAAATAAAGATGGATGAAATAATAATTTTAGCAATTCAAATAATTAAAAATATTAAGTTAAAACAGTTTGTTTTATCCTAAAACCAGGTTATTATTTTTAATATTTGATTAGTATATGTGCTCTAAATAAATATTTTAATCACTATTACAATACTCTCTTTCGCATATATTAAAATAATAGAGAAAATTATATTTAACATTAATTTCAGACATAAATACAAAGAAATAGTAAAATTAAATAATTCAATTCCAATATCACAATAGAAGATGTTTTCATAATATATCATTCGCGTGAAACGCGGAAAAAATTTCTAGTTTTCTTAAAACTTGTTTTAGAAATTTTATTGGGACAAATCAAAGTTGAGAGTATTTTTTTCCAATTTTCTAAAAACAAAAAAATCAAAAGTCAAAAACAGTAAGAGTACAATTAGACCTAAGGCAATTATGTCATAAATGCCCTTTGAAACAAAAACACAATTAAAATAAAATTACAACAGAGACTTCGTCTCTTACTGCTTCTAGTTCGATCGTTAGTTTAAAGCTGCGGCCACGACATTGGTCGTGGAGGCGTGAAGAAGTTTAAAAGTCACACCGAATCAATCAAGTGGGAGGGACACGTTCTTCATCAATCAACAACCTATATTATATTAATCAAAACACTCTTTTCTCCTTGGAAGCTTTGGCTGATTTCTAAGCAACGATGGACAGATCGGCGTCTGTGGGTATCAACGACGGCCGATTTGGTGGCGATCACTTTTATTCCCCATCATTTTCTTCTTCCTCTTCCTTGAGATATGTCAATTACAGGTAACAAAGTCTTTTTTGAATTAGGGTTTCCATTTTTGATTGATTAGATCAAACAGCACGTGTTTTGTTGTTTTCATTGAAACTTGTGAAAATGACCATTAATTCAATTTAGTGGTAAATATGAGCTTTTGTTTGATTGATTGTTGCATTAAAATTTATGTTTTAGGAGGAGGCTTAGTCTATGTATAGTTGTTGATTATGCTTTTGTTATATGTATGTTCTGTGTTGTTTTCTTACTTAAAGAGAATAATGAACAAATGTCTTTCTTTTTTTGCAGTTGTGGATCTTGTGGGTACGAGCTGAACTTGAGCTCCACCAATAGAATCACATCATCAATTGGATCTAAGTATGGGAAGTCCATGAAGACTGGAATCATATCCTTCTTCAACATCGACGAGAGAAGATTTAGCCAGGTCGATGAGTTCCAATGCATGCCTCACTTCTCCAGACACTCTTGGGGTTTGTTCAGACGCAAGACTAAGCTTCTCTGTCGCCAATGTAATAACTATATCGGCAATGCTTCTTATGACAAGGCCCCTCCTGAGTACGCACTCGTTACACAAAATTCATCGCCCAGGAAGGGTGCTGTCACTGACACTGTTACCAAGTATGATATCAGGATTCGTGCGCTTCAACCTTCTTCCGCTGTTGCTTCTCTATGACTGTGTGCTTCTTCGACAACTGTATTGTATATTGTAAGAACAACTTCCAAGTATCAGATTTAGATATTCACGATGCGCTTTTGTATCAGTACGGGTGGGTTTGGCTTTTTTTTTTTCTTTTTTCAAATTGTATAGTACTATAACAATTTGCCTTTTGTTTCTGAGAATTATGAGGTTAGATATGAATTTCACTTTATATTTTGAGTTTCAAAAAAAAAAAAATATATGAATTTCACTTTTTCATGTCCATCATGTATGCTTACCACATACTATTACTGTATGTCTATCGAAGTTTTAGAAAACATCACCTCATTACATCAGTCTGCTGTTAAAATTCAAAACCTAACAAAGTCTTTGGAACACAAACCATAGAACACACATTACTCTTGAGATTAATTTCCAGATGGTCTTCCATTAGTACCTTGAGGATTGTTATTGTTACCTTCCTGAGATCCTCCAAACATCTGCATCATTGATCGCAATGCACCTGAAAACTCTTCAGGCATTTGATCCGCGGTTCCAAGATCTATGTTGATGTTTCCGCCTACACGAATCTCATGCTCATTTGTACCGTTTATGTTACCATCTCCTCCTCTGTTTCCCGTCATGTTCATGAACATGCTCATCATATCAGGGTTTAAAGGCATCGAGAACTGAGAAGGTATTCCTTGCCCTCCCATTCCTGGATCTTGATTATGTCCCATGTTTGTATTCTGTTCTTCAAACACCGCAAAACCGTTAGTTCCTTGTATTATTTCTACTACTCCATGTGATAAATTTTACCTGATTACGTCTCTGGCGTTGTTCTTCTTCTCTTAGTTTTTGTTCAGCCACCTGTGTTTTGCAAATACGTCAATATCACAGTCTCATTAAGTTACAGAATGATCATGGTAAAGCAGATAAGTATACTTATAAAAATAAAATAAAACCGACCCTGATATTTTCTTTGACAGATTCATTATGCGGATCCAACTCCAAAGCTGCCATGAGTGCGATGAAAAAGATTACACAGAATAATTTTGATAGCTAACGTAATGAAGCAAAGCTTTAGCTCCTTTTTAAAGTATGAAAATAATATGCTAACTTGATAAAAAAGGTTGGATTCATTTCTAAGAACACAGACATACCTTTCTTGAATCCTTTCTCAATAGCATCAGCATACTTTCCTTGGGCATAATATGCTAACCCAAGACGACTGTAAGCCTTACTATAGTTTGGATCGATCTCAATGGATTTAAGACAGTCCTTAATTGCTTCTGAGCACATGCTGATCTGGGTATATGCAGCAGCCCTGATATACAATTATTTTAAATCAGATTAAGCAGGAAACACAATCAGAGAGCTAACTAACTTAAGCTTCCAGATAATATCAAGTTCAAGCTTTATCACTGACCTGTTGCAGTAGAAAACAGCGTTCTTATCTAAGAGCGCAATTGCAAAAGAATACAGCTCGATTGCCTCCAGATACTGCTGGGACTGCATGGCCTTGTTACCTAAAAAAAGGTAATAATTCCAGTTGAAATAGACGAGACAACCATTAAAAAAACACTTCCTGGTCTCTATTTTTGGGGATCACAAGTACCTTGGCACTTGAATGTTTCTGCCAAGCTTTTTGCATCAAATGTCTGGCATCCCGAATTTTCCATTTCCTAAATTATGTAGACAAAAAAAACATGTTACCAATAGAAGCAAAACATCAATAAAGTCAACAAGGAAAACCGAAAACCAACAGTGATAGCATCATGAAATATCTTAGTTGCTTTCTCCAGCTGAGCAGGATCATCATCTCCGTTAGGCGTGGTATTGAAATACCCAACTTTCTCAAGCGCAACAAAGAGTTGGCCAAATAGTTCATCTCTACAAATTCCTGCAAAAACCAGACAAGTTCAACAACAACAACAAGAGAATGAAGCATTTAACAAAAAAAAAAAAAAAGCAAACCCCATAACTGACAGACCGTTAAATAGAGGCTCTTTGCTTGCATCCACTGAGACATTAGAGTTGGACAAGTCAGGAGCTGAAGAAGAACTAGGCTCATCACCCCTAGGAGAAGTGAAGATACTGACAAGCGAAATGGGTTTCGAGTTATTATAGTCTTTGGTAGAATCTGAAGTAATCTTAAATGCTTCCTTTATGCATTCTTTAGCAACCTCAAGCCCTTCCTCGTCAACACCAGGACCAACTTCAACTACAACAAGATAACCAATCAAATCCTCGAATAATTGTTCTGAATACTAAAAATCGATGATGGGGAATCTATAGATAGCAAGTGATTACCGGAATCTAGAAAATCCAAGAAAGAATGCACAATTTTGCGGCAGACAGCAGACTCCGTCGTTAGTTTCGTCATTGGAGAGAAGAATCAGTTTTGGGTGTTGTCTAGGAGGATCAATTTCTAATTTGGCCCCTTTAGGACTTTTTTTCTTTTCTTTTGTCAAACAGTTTTATTAATTGGATTAAAGCCCAAACTTACAAGAGGTTACAACCCATTCCCATACATATTTAAAAGATATTTTTAGTCCAATCGAAGCCCAATATAAAAGATAAGGAAATACGAAAAACACATGTTTCTAAAAAAATTAAACTTTGATCCAAAATTGACATATGCACATTTATGTGGCACTTGACGTTTTCATATTAATGCAAGCAGAGACATTTATTCAAATGTACATGATGAGTGTTTAATAGAAGAGGTTGAGGATATGAAGTTAGTAATGGGTGACATGAACAAAGACTTGATCGATGTCAGGACTAAATTCGTTCAGTTGAGAAAGAATTTGAAGGAATCAAGACGGAATCAGAGGTGCGATGTGTAAGGGATGTGGTGGTTTCTGTGTTATTTGTGGGCATATTTTGCTACTATTCATTAATGTAGTCTTGTATTGTTTATCAACAACCCAGTCTTAATTTAACATAACTCAGGCTTATAGTTCAATAACCTAGCCGTAAAATTCAATAACTCAGTTGTATTGTTCAAAAACTCAGCCGTTCATTTCAATAACTCAGCCGTGAAATTCATTTACTCAGCCTTAATTTAACATAACTCAGGCTTATAGTTCAATAACCCAGCCGTAAAATTCAATAACTCAGTGGTATTGTTCAAAAAATCAGCCGTGAATTTACTCAGCCGCGAATTTCATTTACTCAGCCTTAAAGTTCAATAACCCAGCCGTTAATTTCAAAAACTCAGCCTTAAAGTTCAATAACCCAGCCGTCAATTTCAATTTCTCTGGAATATGATTGGATCGGAGGAATAATGTATACGGCTTTGGAAAAATGAAAAATCATTATCGACGTTTCCGTATCTCTCTAACGAAAAAAGCTCTCAGCGACCCTTTTAGGCGATTTCATTTCTTCGTGTACTCAAGGTAGATCGAAGCCTTAAACTTGTTGATTTTTCTTGATTTAGATTAAGTTGCATCTTGACTTCTTCGTTGTACGGTTTTGATTTGGGTTTTACTCGATTAGGGTTTGAACTCGATCTCACTTTGAATCTAAAAAAATCAGCCTTACATTCCTTTCTTGTTTGCAGATGGCGATTCCGCATGAACCTCATTTCTTCCAGCCTCTGCTTACTGGTTTCCAGAGTGGCGTGGTATACACACTCTTTGTCCTTTGTATATGTTCCTAATTTTGAGTTTTGCTTAACTTTGCCTTTTCTGAATTGCAGACAATACCACTTGCCTTCTTCTCAAAGCACATAGAAGGGAAGACGAACCAGACAACATGGAAACTAAGATCGGACACTTCAGATAACACTTGGGAAGTGATACAAGAAGGCAGGATACTCACCGTAGGTTGGGAAGATTTCACCACAGCACATGACCTTCAAATCGGTGACGTTGCCATTTTCAAACTCGAAGGATACATGGTGTTTCATGTCACTTCTTTTGGTCCTAGCTGTTGTGAGATTCAGTATACACATCCTCACATAATCAAGGAGGAAGCCGATGCGGATGATGATGCTGCGGGTGATGCTTCAGTCAAAGTTCACCGTAATTAGCATAGCAATCTTGTGAGATTTTTTTGACGTGGAAAATTGTTTCTTATGTTTCAGGAGGAACATGGGCAATGTCTTCTTTCTCATTCGACTACTGTTTTTTGGCTGAGGTCCCTGCTTCAAATCTGAAAGAAGACAAACTTGTGAGTAGTTTACGTTTTGTGTCTCTATTTCAAATCTAAAAGAAGACAAACTTGTGTTTGCAACATCTTAATGTTATGTGTTTGCAGCATCTTCATGTGGCAGCTACGCATTCTACTGCTTTGAACAAACAATGCCAAGAGACGATATTAGTGAACAAAGAGGGAAACTCATGGACTGTGAGTTTGCGATTTAACGAATCAGGCGGCATATATTACATCAGAAAAGGCTGGAGAAAGTTCTGTTTTGATAACATATACGACATAGGAGACTTAATTGTGTTCAATGTGGTTAGAGATGGGAAAGAGTGGTGAGTCTTTTGTGTTGTAGTTGAATTTCAAAGAGTGTTCTTTCTCCCAATCATGCTTCTGGTTTAACTTGCTTGTTTTGTCTTGTTCTGCAGGTCACATTGCTTCTGGCTCAACTTCGTCGCCCCTTCGTCTCACCGGTCGTACTGCCTAAGGTTGTAATGAATGTACTAGCTAGGTCCTTTGGTTTGTTTCCTTTTCATAACTCTTGTAATGTACTCCGCTTCTTTTGGACTTGTGATGTGCTCTATTTCTTCTGGTTTAAGTCTCTTCTATATAACATAACTCAGCCGGTAGATAATAAATAACCCAACCGTTAATTTCAATAACTCAGCTGAAAGTTCAATAACTCAGCCGGTAGATAACAAATAACCCAGCCGTTAATTTCAATAACCCAGCTGAAAGTTCAATAACTCAGACGGTAGAGAATAAATAATCCAGCCGTCAATTTCAATAACTCAGCTGAAAGTTCAATAACCCAGCCCAATTTCAATAACTCAGCTGAAAGTTCAATAACTCAGACCGTAGAGAATAAACAACCCAGCCGTCAATTTCAATAACTCAACTGAAAGTTCAATAACTCAGCCGGTAGAGAATAAGTAACCCGAGAATGCGATGTTTCGTATTCAGTAAATTTCAATAACTCAGTCGTAATGTTCAAACAATGCCGTAAATTTCAATAAATTAATAACTCAGTCGCATTATTTAGTTAACTCAGCCACTTTGTATTATGAGATCTCTTGTATTATCAACTAATTAATAACTCGGTCGCATTATTTAGTTAACTCAGCCACTTTGTATATAGAAATTGAAATTGCAAAGAAAACACTAAAATCCATAACCCAGCTGTAATACAACCAATAGTCTATAAACTGAAATTTCAAAGAAAATCAAAATAATAAATAAAACATCTTCACCACTTGCTTGTGTCAAAAATCAAGCTCATCGGTTCAAAATCACGGACGAACTGCATAACCTCTTTAATCCACAAACAACGGTCACACATGTTGTCACCCTTACTGGTACCAATGGTCCACAAGCTGAAGCAGTTTCTGTCCACAACAGCACAACATTGGCAACTGGTGAACGATGGCATAACCGATGAAATGAACTCCAACTTCTTTGAGCGGAAGTCATCACCATGCCACAATTCCCATCCCCATTTCACAGATTGCACTAGTTCCCCAATCCTAGCAGCAGATTCTCTTGTAAAACGAGCAAAATACTCCTCTTCATTCCAAACAATTTTCCTAATTTTTGCGTATGCATACACGGCACGCTCATATCCTGCATCCGCTGCACTCTTCATGAGAGTAAGACCTTCTTCTCGAAGCTCATATGTGAAGAAGAACTGAACACCCTTCATATATAGTGTGCTTGGGTTTCCTTCAGCGTAACAAGTTGGGAACAACGAAATAGGCATAGGGGCTTCCCATGGATATGATAGCAAATAAAAAAAATGATATACCCTACGCTCGGCGTCTGTGCTTGATGATTTCGATGTGTGATGTTATTGTAGTATGATGTCGTTGTAACGTTTTTTTTTTCGGGACTGGCCGTTGGTGGCTTTGAATCCCTGCCGCTGGGCGGTGTGTATTCGAAGACTTTTTAATAAAAAGTATTTTCTAAGTATGAAAATTGCGTTTCTTTTTAGATGTAGAGGGAAGAATACGAGTTTTCGTCTCGCATCTAACTCTTGGTGTAAATCGTCCGGTTCGTTTACTCGGAATGTTTCGATTTTCGCGAGTGATTAGATGTGGGCGAAGAGGCATGCCTGTAGGATCTCAATTCATGCCTTGAGACGTTAGAGACCAGTGTGCTGGGTTTAGGGCAAGACCTAGGTTTACTTTCGTATTGAGGCTATGCGATGACTAGTCAGCTTTCGTTTCGCCTATTGCGATTTTAACCTGATTCCATACCGAGTTAGAATCCACGAGAGGTTCTCGGATTATATGATTCGTATGGTTGGAATCAAGCATCTCACCGAGAACAATTTCTAAGTTGCTCGGAAGTGCTGACCAAAAATTTGGATTTCTTTTATAGCGCGCTATTTTATCCTAGTCGGATGTATGCGGACCAATAGGTCGGTACGTTTGTTTAGGACGGCTAGCGTGCTCGACGGGGCCAATCGCCGAGCGTTTGTGTTTTTATAGTCGCGGACGGACTTAGTGAAATACTTTTCTCGAGAATTTAGGCGACGTCTCGCCGGTTCTTTCTGAAAATATTTTGGTGTACAATAGAAACGATTAAGTAGTTGTTACTGCGGAAGTAATTTCCGGATGTTTGGAATTTTTTTTGCGTTTTCGATAGTAGCGGAAATTTTATAATGTTCTAAATTTGCCTTTATTAAAAAATTTCGAAGAATTTTCGATGACAAAGCGAATATTTTAAAATTTTGGGAGTATACGAATACTCGTATACACACCCACTCCCCCCCCCATTTTCGAAAGGGGGATAGCTAAACTCGTCTTTAGGCGAGCTGCCTACGTATTCCTTTCGGAAATGAAGCCATCTCGTTGTTTTGATTGTTTGTGCGAGTATGCTTACTCGGCTGTCGCAGACTTTTCGATCACTTCAGTCGCTGGATCGATGTTTTTGTCCGAGTTTGTCTCCTTCGGTTGGGTAGAAGCGATGTGTGCGGAAACTTGTTGTTTCTCAACTGCTGCTTGCTTTGGGTCGTCTTCAGCGGGCGGTGGCGTGACCTTTGCCCGTTTTGGTTTCACGATTGCGAACGCCAATTACCTCAGCTTGTGTTCGGCCAGGAAGCAGAATCGCGATTGTCTTTGGCATCCCCAGATTGCTGCGATTCCCGTAGGAGTCGGGAATTTGATGCCTAAGTGATACGTCGATAGAACCGCCTTCATGGAATTTATCCAAGGCGTGCCATGATCACGTTGTAGA